GCCGGCCTCCGCGTCCAGGAAGAACAGCCTGGCCACGGGCAGCAGAAGAGGCACCACCCCGCGGGCCAGCTCTGTGTCCACCACTCCTGCAGCCGGCAAGCACAGGACAGCAGGGTCAGCCCTCTATGTCACAACCACGACTGCAGACCGCATCACAAAAGAGCCTCCCAAGGCACTGAAAACGAGATGACTTCGTTTTACGCTTCTATCTCTCGTGCAACAACGATCAAGCTGAAACGTCTTTTTGTTCGCTGCTGATTACCAGAAGTCAGGCAGCCGAGACTCCTTGCTATCCTTAATTTAAAAACACACGTTAAAAGGGGAGCTGCAGCCTCAGATTCTCAGATCAGCTATTAAATCTCGGCTACAAAATAAAATTCGCCGACGGTAATTTTACGAATTCTGAATTCAGCACAAAGTCGTGAACTTTGTGAACGTACTGTACGGTCGCCATGTCGTTGGAAACCGCTGGTCTCACCACGGGCGAGTGAGAGGATTCATGTGAACCGAGATGCGAGGCGGCCCTTCCTGCTCACTAGTCCCTGCGATGACTAATGTAATGAGATGTACGAGAAAAAGTATGGGTTGTGCAGCCGACATTTCACTGCAGAAACGTTCCAACGTGATCTGCAGGCGCAGTTAACAAGCAGTATTTGTCGTCAAAACTGTGTTACATAGTGAAATGTGTTACATAGACCCTTGTGACTTAAGCACAAGACATTGCACATTGCATTTTCAACTGTTGGCGGATGGCGTCAGCGCGGCAGAGCTGAGATGAGTACACTGAAAGCAGATTTGGAGCAGTGGGCGTGTTGGGACTGCACTGACCTGGGTGGAGACTGTAGCAGCTGACGCTGGTGCCCTCCAGCCTGTTGGCCAGCTCACGGGTGAAGAGCAGGTTGCACAGCTTGCTGTGGCAGTAGGCCCTGAAGTTCTGCCAGGCGGACTGGTGGGGCACCAGGTCTTTGTGGGTGCTCAGGGTGCCGAAGTCGATATCGCCCAGGCGGTGGAGCAGCGCCGCGACGTTGACCACGCGGCTCGGACCCCCCTCCTTCAGCCGCTCCAGCAGGAGAGAGGTCAACAGGAAGTGACCCAGGTGATTGACCCCAAAGGCCATGCCGAAACCATCCGCAGTCCTGCCTGGACCCATCATACCTGAGGCAGTCAGAAAGCCATGGGAAGACTGTTAAATACACAGACACATATCCTTACATACTGCTGATTTATGTATGGTAGCTTGACCTTATTCTATACCCCATCTCCCAGAAGCTAATTTCAGTATATGTGTAGTCGGAACAGGGATGTGTGGTCGTATCTTAAATTACCCTCTAATTTTCAAGCAACGTCATACGGTCTCATTGCACCAAGATGTTCGAGTACAGGGAGAAACACCCAAAGCATGCAAAAGCAGTCTAGATTTCCATGTTATGGGTGGGCCCTGCGTGCTTCTGCTCTGTTGCTGAACTCACGCACTGCCAGCACAGAGGAGTGTCGGCGGAGCTCTGTCCCAGCACACTGTCCGCTGCCTGTCTGGAGGAAGGGCAGCGGACTGGAAGCGTTTCGATCGAACAGACAGCTGTGCCTCATGTCCCTGGTCACGGGTCTGTGGTGGAAACCTATTTTGAGCGGTGTGTTCTGAAGGGCCGTACTGCAATACAAAGTGTGGCTCTACCCCTCCAGGAGCCCAGCTGTGTCTGCGAGGCCGAGCCCAGTCCTGCGGGTCTCCTCCTCCCCGGGCCCCACCTGCGTTATTGATGAGCAGATCCAGCCTGGGCTCCGTCTTCAGGAAGGTCTCGGCGAAGGAGCGCACAGACTGCAGGCTGGCCAGGTCCAGCTCCATGAACACCACCTCACTG